GAAAAGCCCGGAGGCTGAAATTTTCAGGAAATGTTCCCAACCCATGTACGGCTTAAATTTATCAAAATCAGCCCCCCGGGCATGCGCGATTGCTACGTACGGCCTTGTGAATATTTATGGCAGGAAAATTGCTAACTCAAGAAGAAAATTTGGAAAGCTGAAATTTCAACGAAATGTCCTCTGTCCAACTACTGCATAGACAATTAACTTCCCAGGCTTCGAGGACCAGTATATCACACATTTCTAGCTACTGGATTTCCGAGCGACCTTATTTCAGCGCGAAATATTGCAAAAACGCATGATCGCAAGGGCCAGCCCGGCGCGCGTCGCTAGTGATTTGCATAGCTCCCCACAGTTTTTACCGCTACCGACATCGGTTTCACCGGCAAATGCTTTTAACTTCTCAGGTTCCTGAGTTAGCAACTTACCTGAAAAAGCTTTGGCGGGCCCGTACGTGGGTACCACGCATATTCGAGAGCTGAGTTTGAGCCCATTTATACCTACTTGGACGGAGATCGTCCCTTAAAATTTCAGTCTTCTAGCTTTTCAGGCTCTCAAGTTAGCAGCTTACTTGGAAAAAAACTTTGGCTGGCCTATACGCGGGTACCACGTGGGTAAGAGCACCCATTTTGGATTAAGTTTCCAAAATTTCAGTTCTTTAACTTTTGTAGATCTCGAGATGAAAAATCGGTACAGGCGAACACACAGACAGGCGATCCTCGTCAATATAAGCTTCCTGCATTGGACAGATGCAAAAAACGGCAGATATGTCCTCATTTTTGAGCTAACAAAACAACAGATCAGAGAATTACCTTGGGAACAGCAAACAGGGCAAGCTGCTGCAGCGACTTCTGATATGTTTTGTCCAGCGGCTTCTTCAGCTCCCTATATTCAGCCTCGGCTGGCTTCCACTGCATCGTATTACCACTCTGCTCCACACCACTTTTTGATGCAGATTTTTCTTTGCTTGTTGTATCGCAAATCTTCAAAAAAATTTCGTACACAAATGCTTAAAAATATTGATGGCTTAGGTTAAGTTTCAAACAGTCAAGCAGTCAAAACGATTACACAAAAAATCTCTTTTTGCATTTGACTTTCTTTGTGCTTTAAAGTGTAGCACAGAAAAGCTTTGTTTTTTATGCGTTTTTGCATATAAACACATATTGTGACAATCCCGGAAAAACACATATTGTGACGATCCCGGTGTGCGTATGTGTGTGTATGTGTGTGTGTGTGCGTGTGTGTGCATCTGTCCGGGCATTTCAACTCGGCATCCAAGCAAGCTCCAGTGCCAAAATTTTACGAGTGGGCTCCCCGGCTAAGTGCCACCCCAGGACCGCGGTACCAATCCTCGATCTCTACCAATTCTGCGTACGAGCGCCTCAAACTTTTGGCAGGAAAATCGCTAACTTGCCGACCAGAAAAGCTAGAAAGCTGAAATTTTGGGATTATGTTCCCTGTCCATACAGAACTCAAAGATTTTAAATTGAGCCCCCAGGTGTGCGTAGTTCCCGCGTGCGACCCCGTGAAGGTTACTGACGTAAAAATCGCTAGCTCAGGAACCAAGAAAGCTGAGAGGCTGAAACTTTCAGGAAATGTCCCCAACTCATCGACAACTTAAATTTATTAAATTCAGCCCCCGTTATGCGTGATTGCCACGTACGGTCCCATGAAAATTTTTGGCGGAAAAATGGCTCACTCCGGAACCAGCAAAGCTGGGAGGCTGA